GAATGTTGTTGGTGGTCCATGTGCTGCTCTAAGTCACACTTCTTTATACACTGTTGCAGCACAGTGAGTAAAATTAAATTTCTTTTTAAATGCATTGGATGAAAAGTATGAAGAAGCACAAAATGAAAAGACTGCAGTACCTCAAAAGCGTACTTATACCCTGCGGATTAATTTCTGTAAATAAGGCTGTTTCTTTACAATCAACTGGGGAGGCACTGAACGGATCCACTACATGGGTATCTGTGCCAAATCAGGTGTAAAGAGTTTCTGCAATCAGCATTCATTCATTCACAGCAGGCCACAGCATTTCCTGCCCTCATGCTGCTTTACATGAAAAGGATCGCAATGAGTTCCACACAGTGTGGTATACAATTTAAAAAAAAGAAAAACAAAGCTCTAGTATCGGATCGGCACTTGTTTTTCTGCAGGTATCCTGAGCTGAAGTATCACAAATCGGTCTTGAGAGAGAAAAAATTTGGATCAGCGAATCCCTACCATCATCACACACATATCTGACAAAAAAAAACAAAAACCAAACACATTCCTAGCAGATAAAACATTTTCAAAACTTTTATTTTGAATGCTTTGATACCTACATTGTCCACATCACCTTGTAAGCTTCCTCTACTTATCCTTTACTGGCACATCGCTGCCTTTCACAGCTCACCATTGCCACCAACTGTTATCTCTACCCCTTTAGAGTCTGGGGAAACATGTATCTTGTACTTTATGAACAGAAGGTACTGACAACACACAAACCCGTTCATCAAAGCGTTCCTGAATACGTACAATGCATTTTAATGCCCGCCGGGTGTAAATATGGGGTAACTGTTTCTAGCATATCCAAAGGTGAATGAGAAAGACTCTCGTCTTTAATGCTGCACCACTGACGAAGTTAAGCGCTGACTTAGATCATCACTGAAATCATCATCGCAGCCTCATCTGATGCAGCCATTAATTTCCCCCTCTCAGTGTCTTCACAAACCAAATAATTTCAGCCAATCGTGATCTGATGTCTTTGGTGATCTGATGATATAACTCATTATTTTTCATATTTCCGTCTATAGCTCGACTCCTTCCGTCTGTTTCCTGTGAGAGCGTTTTCTCTCATTGATTGCCAGCAGAACATATTCTACATTTTAATGCGGTATGTGTGCGTTCCTCTTCCCCCTTCACTTGACCCCATCTGGCCTAATCAACTCTGCTACAAAAAGGCCCCGCAGCTACACACACACACACACACACACACACACACATACACACACACACACACACCTTGTGTGAATTGATTGGCCGGTCCAGTCACTGGTCGTTAAGAGGCCTCCAATTAAACCGGGCAATTATAAGAGTCTGAATGACTGTGAGGGAGGGGAGCACTCTCCCCCTCTCTCCTGTCTCCCTCCCTCTCTCTCTCTCTCCGAGGCCTGATCATGTTCAAGTGATAACAGCGATGTTGACCTTTGCTATATTGTGAGTATCACACTCATAGAGCTGACCCAACACCAGTCCTGCATGCTGCAACGCACGCACGCACACACACACACACACACACACACACACACACACACACCATCTGCACAGGGAAGCGTTAGAATGGTAGAAAAAAAAAAAAAAAACTAAAGATGCTGCGTTGAACCAGGAACATAGCGCTTGCACGGTGTGTATTTTAATCACTTGGCTACCAGACTCCATATGCTTATCATTACACATGGTGTCTATAAACCTTTTCTCATGCCAAGACTGTCAATACTGGATAATTTAGCAAACCCTGGATTATGATAAATTACTTTTTACTTTTTTTCTGTTTTTATTTTTTACATCCAATGCCAATGTATGTATAATTCCCGCTTTCTACAATATCTATATCTGGCATCTACTATGTTTAGGGAGAGCTTGTTGTGGGTGGCTAAATGTATGGTTAGGGTGATGTAAGAAAAACACTTGGTTAAGGTTTGGGAAAGATGGTGGCTACGAATAATAAAAAGGCAAACACTAACTGCAGGTCCAGCAGACCTGCTGCTCATGACCAACACAACAATCCAATGCAACACTGCAACAGGGACTCTAGGTTTGTATAGGCCAAATAGTCTCTAATATGTTTTGCCTCTGCACACTGGCTAACTACAGAAATAAAAGAAAAGGTCCGAGACGCTGGCTCAGTAGCACAGCTGGATTCTGTTGGGTTTTTCTTTTTTAGCCTGTTAACCATGATAATGTAATCAACCACACCAGGATGCTAGTGTTATTTATTCTGTTAGCCATAGTAATGTTGCCAACCACAGCTGCATGCTGTTTTTTTAGCCCGTTAGCCATGATGTAGTGGCGAACAGCACAGTGACATCCATTATTCAGGGGCTGAGATGGCAATTATGGCTCAGAGCACAACTGACATTAATATTTAATATATTGGACTAACACAGACCTGAAGAGAGAGACAGGAAGTGACAGAGTGATGGGATGGAGAGGGCGTTGGGATGTGGAGAGAGAGAGAGAGCGAGAGAGAGAGAGAGAGAGAGAGAGAGAGAGAGAGAGAGAGAGAGAAACACGGTGGAGAAGACGAGAGGGGAACAGAGACTGTGTGAAGGAGAAACAAATGGATGGAGAGAGAATGAAGAAAGAGGATTGTGGGAGTTTGTTTCAGCCACTCTCCTGTCATTTAAACAGTTACAATGCCAACAGGGCAAGGGTGACATCCGGGGGAATTCCAGCTTTGTGTGTGTATGTGTGTGTTGTGTGTGTGTGTGTGTGTGTGTGTGTGTGTGTGTGTGTGTGTGTGTGTGTGGGGATGTCTAAGACTGAATGTCTGTGTCCGTTTTATTCCCTAAAGACTCGCTATTCTACTGAGCCAAGAATAACGATGCTGCCTTGGAAGAGAAAAAAACAAAAAAAAAAATCTCTCCAAAACACACACACACACACACACACACACACACACACACACACACATACACACACACACACACACACACACAGAGCATTCTGGTGAGTTGTTGCTGACAGGTGGAGAAATTGCAGTGAGTCAGTTAGTGCAGACAAACTGAACAACAGATCAGTGCTTTTGCAGCTCCTGCCTCCTCTGTCTCTTCTCTGTCTCCCTGCTTTCTTTAGATGTCTTATTTCACCTGCCTGCCAAGTTTCTTGGCAGAGCTTTCTGACAGACTGATTGTTTTCACGATCTTCCTCTATGTGCATGTGTGTGAAACAACGTGCTAAAGCCTGTGTACCTATCTGCCTGTAACTGATCAGTTCCCGGTGGCACCTCTCACAAAAAAAAAAACAAAAAAAAAACCACCATTCAACACGAGGAGAGAAACTGTTTGCAAACAACATGTAAATATGATTCAGAGCGTACTTGAATATAATTTTAAACATTGTAAGACAAGAGCTATATGTTAATATTGTTGCCATAATCGCAGTATTAGT